CACCAACAACAACAGGTCTTAATACAGCTCAGAAAAGTGTGCATTAATAGATGATGTTTTCAATTCTGGGAAAATTGGAAGCTAACAAATCCCTGAGGAGCATGATATAAAGCGGTTCCAAATAATTGGCTCTATTTAAAATACTGAGGTGGAAAGTGTTCCAGGACAGAATCTATGCTTTAAAGTGTATGTACGCTGCAGTGAGGAGAATGCACATTCAATAACTCTGGCCACAGCAAAAAATAAATGGGATTTCATTTAAGACTTAAGGTAGAGTAAACTTTATCAGCGAAGAAGGATTTGTTTTAAGATATGATCTCTGTAAGGTAAGAACATTCCAAACTAAATGATTTTTCAATTTTCAGTATTAATACCATCCCAATTTAAGACCAAGTTGTCTTTTTTTTTTTTTTTTTTTCCCTTCAAACTTATTAACCATAGAGTATGGCATGTGTTATTTGGATAATGTGTTTACAGGACAGGTGAAGAATTTTCACGCCCAGTTAATACCTAGAGCTTCTGGACTCTTTACAAAGAGTCTCACATACTAATCAACATACCACCTATCCTTTGATCATTTCAAAAGTTCCAGTACACCCAGGATGGGAAAGATCTATTTTCACAAGTCTTCTGCTTTATGTAGATATTTTCTAATTACTTTTGGATTTTGCTTTGTTTTATGATTTGATTGAAGCACTAAACGTAGGAAAATCTCAGTCATTTTAGATTAGTTGGATTAAGTTTCCAAATTGAAGATAAAAACAAGTTAGATTGATTTTTATATGCATGTAGAAATTGTTAAACTGTTTTATGTTTTAGTGTGTACATTTTCAACAACAAAAAATGAGGAATATAAAAAATGATTTTAATATAAACAAGTATCTTTTCTTATCATATGAGGCATTTACATTTCTTTGTGTTGAATTGTCTCTTAATAAACTAATAGTTGTATTTCAAAAATTGTATTTTCTTAGGAGTTTTGGTGACACTGTAGAATAAACTGTCCTGCTAAAACAAGGTTGACAGTTCAAACCCACCAGTCATTCTATGGGAGAAAGATACAGCTTTCCGATTCTGTAAAGGTTTACAGCCTTGGAAACCATATATAGGTTCAATGTGAGTCAGAATCCACTCAGTGGCAGTGAATTATTAAAATTAATTAATTTTCTTAGCCTTTCAAAACAAATATTCTTACCATAATTTAACTCTAATAGAGAAGTTATATTCTTCTCTATTAAAGAACATTGAAGCTATACAAACCTCAGTTTATATTCCAGTTATGTTACTTTATAGCTATATGGCTTGGAAAATCAGTTTTGCTCATTTATAAAAAGACAATAAATATTGTGATGAGTAATATGACTAATTTTTAAAGTACAGTACCTGGTACATAATATATACTACTTAGTCAATTTTTAATCTCTCAGTTTACATGTTACAAATAATATAATAGGAAAAATGGAGAAATAAAGAGAAACAAAAAGGGAATGAAGAACAAAGAGGAACTAAAGACAAAAGATTAATATTGATTTCTGGCTTAGGAAAAAAAATTCAATGAGGTGAATTTAAATAATATAGCTAAATTGTTTAAGGATAAATGAAATAAAATTTTGTATTTTCTCCCAGGAAAGATTTGTTGTTGCTGTTAAGTGCCATTGAGTCAGTTCTGACCTGTAACAACCCTGTCGACCCTGCAGTTCAAAAAGACTTTTTGGTCCAGTGCTTATCCCTTGGTGCCACATCAGGATTCTAGGAACGATAGTCAGGATAAAAATTAGCTTTCTTACATCTGCCACTTCAGGTAGTTTCACAAATGCACTCCCTCTTACCAGTGACTAACACTCCTCTGTCAGTGTGTCTTACTGTTAAAAAGTAAGGTTGTCACTTTGAAGACTAAAGTACACCTGCTCCAGGTCATGGTATTTGCAATTATCTCATATGCGTGTGAGAGCTGAACAATGATTAAAGAAAAAGGAAGAAGTGATGGCTTTGAATTATGGTGTTGGAAAATAATATTAAATATACAATGGACTGCCAGAAAAACAAATAAATCTGTATTGTAATAAGTGTAGTCAGGAAGCTCCTGCGATGTGAGGATGAGGACACTTCATTTCATGTACTTTGTGCAAGTTGTCAGGCAGGACCAATTCCAGGAGAAGGACATCATGCTTGACAAAGTAGAGGGTCAGTGAAAAAGAGGAAGACCTTTAATGAAATGGATTTAGCAATAATGAGCTAAAACCCAAAGGAAGAATTTTAAAGATGAAACAGGGCTGGGCAGTGTTTTGTTCTGTTGTACATAGAGTCACTCTGAGTTGGAATCAACAAAATGACACCTAGCAACCACAACATCTTGCCAGTGAGGGCAACAGACCAGTCACTAAATATAAGTATCAGCATTTCTCAGGCTATAATATGTACGTTGTTGTTAAGTGTAGTTGAGTTGGTTCTGAATCTTAGCGAACCTTTATAGGGTTTCCAAAGAGAGGCTGGTGGGTTTAAACTGTTGTTGTTGTTAAGTGCCATCAAGTTAATTCTGACCCATAGTGACCCTATATAGGGTTTCCAAGGAGCAGCTGGTGAACTTGAACCATCGATTTTGCAGTTCAAATGACTTTGCGGTGTGACACATTAGCCCACAGCACCACACCAGGACTAGGACTCTATAATATAGCTTTGTGGAAATTGACTCTTACTAAAAGATTAAAAATTCAAAGTAATATCTAATACTAGAAATTTTAAGTCAGTGGCAGGGGTTCTCCTTGGAACATAGACATCTTTTTTCAAATCATTTAAGAAACAATTTTTTCAACTGTTTGCATTACACTTTACTTCAATTTCATCTGCTCATAAGTTTCCATTTAGCAATTTGTTTCTGAGAAGCAGTTTTTGAATCAGGACTGTAGCATTAGATTATGGACTGTAAAGTAAAGAATTTCCAAAGACATTTTAGTGTTCAGAAATCAAAGCTGGTCTTTCTGATTCCTATAAGAGAGTCACATTCAAATGTTACAGAAATTCTTTAAGGATAACACTATTACTTAAATTTTTAATCAGAGGATTCACTTTTGATACCCATAAGAATTATGTTTCCAATGGTTAAATTGTTAACCTGCCCTTCCAAACTTAGTTAGCTCTCCTACTTGACCAAAAAACTATACCCTTTCAAGAAATATTTAGTTCCAATTTTGTGCTTAATACAATCCTAAGATTTAAATTATTTGTATAAAAAAATTAACCTACTCTCTAATATCTAATCATTAATATTTTGTTTCCACTTTAGAAGTTCTCAGTTCATCTCTTCCTCATTGAGTTGCATTACAACACACTGAACGAAATGGAAGACGCAAATGAGTCTGTAGTGCCTGAGTTTATTTTTAGTGGACTTTGTAATTCAACGGCGCTCCAAACCTTCCTTGTACTGCCATTTTCTGTACTCTACTTGATGACTGTTGTTGGAAACCTCCTGGTTGTGGTCTTGATCATCTCTGATCTTCATCTCCATTCTCCCATGTACTTCCTCTTGGCTAATCTCTCATTCATTGACTTCTGCCTTTCCTCAGTCACCACCCCTAAATTAACCACTGACTTACTAAAGGATAATAAGATCATCTCCTTTGGGGGTTGCATGAGTCAGATTGTCTGTGTACATTTCTTTGCAGGTGGTGAGATGGTGCTGCTTGTGACAATGGCCTATGACCGCTATGTGGCCATCTGCAAACCACTCCATTACTCCAGCATCATGAATAGACAAAAGTGTCTCTGGCTGGTTTTGATATCATGGATCATTGGCTTTGTGCATGCCATGAGTCAACTGGCAATGATTTTGGAACTGCCATTCTGTGGACCCAGAGTAGTGGACAGTTTTTTCTGTGATATCCCATTGGTGATCAAACTAGCCTGCATGGATACTCATATTCTGGGAGCATTGATAAATGCCGACAGTGGGTTCTTGGCAACAACCTGCTTCATTCTCTTGCTGATCTCCTACACTTATATCCTCCTAACTGTTCGCCTTCACTCCAAGGATGGGGCATCAAAGGCGCTCTCCACCTGCACTTCTCACATCACAGTGGTGGTGCTGTTCTTTGGACCCTGCATCTTCATCTATTTGTGGCCACTCAGCATCACTTGGGTGGACAAGTTTCTTGCTGTGTTTTACACAGTCATTACTCCTCTTCTGAATCCAGCCATTTACACACTGAGAAATAAAGAGATTAAAAATGCCATGAAAAGACTGATACGTCAGCGTTTGGGTTCAAGAGATCATTTTTAAGTCCCTCGTATAATCAGGAAGTCAATTTTTTCACCCTAATTTGGCCTGTGAACTGTACTGGAAATAACGCCCTATAAAGTATAAGCATTCATTGATGTAACCTAGGAGAATTCCCAGATATATTTTTTGTATTTTAAAATACTTTATTTATCCACTCTAAACCTAACTTAACTAGAGAGAGTACTAAAGTTATTTACATGAACAACATTCACTTAGAGAAAAAAAATAATGATTGTAACCATATTTCTTATCCCTGTATTCTAAAAGCATAATACTTTAAAACATTCAAGTCCTGGCAACTTTTTCAAAGGTTGAGTTTCCCTTGGAAGGTTTTTCTTAAATGTACAGCTAATTCTTTGTCAATTCTTAGAAACATATTTTTTTTCCTCATATTAGTAAGTTAATTTTGTGATTATAGTTTTGTATCACATAAAAAAGTAAGAAAAGAAAGCTGTGAGGAGGTGAGCAAATGCCTTGTTTGAAAGCAAAAAAAAAAAAAAACAAACAAACCCAGAAACTATTGATAACAACAGCACAGTAAATTGTGTTCACTCATTATTGGATAGCTAATAGCTAAATAACCAATTTCTTTCTGTCTAACATCACATCAAAAATAAACCAGTAAATAATATATATATATGCTTATATAGAGATTGCTGGTGTGGCGTTGTGGGATAATGTGCTGGACTGCAAAGTTGGTTTGAACTGCAAGGTCGGCAGTTGAAGCTCACCAGTGCTCTTTGGGAACCCTATATAAGATCTCTATGGGTCGGACTTGACTCGCCAGCACTTAACAACAACAATATTTATATATGCACACACTGTTGCCATATGAATGGGGCTTCAAAAAGTTCATGGAGAAAAAGTACAAATAGATAATGAAATGTTCCACAAATGTATAAACGCCCCCTCATGTATGACTGGTGGTGGTGGTTATGTGCCATGATATCGGTTCCAACTCATAGCAACCCTGTACCAGGTTTCCGAGGCTGTAATTTTACAGGGAACAGAAAGCTTCATCTTTCTCCAGCAACACATCTGATAGTTTCCAACTGCTGACCCTGAGACTAGCAACCCAATTCATAGCCACTACACTACCAGAGCTACATATATATGCATATATGTAATATTTGGGTATGCGCAGAAGGAAAATGCATGTAGGTGTAGCTATTGATAGGATGAGAATAGGCAAGACTAGTTATATTAGTTAGCCAAATGTGGTGGTAGTTATATGCTGTCAAGTCAGTTCTGACTCATGGAGACCCTTTATAGGGTTTCCGAGATTGTAAATCTTTATGGAAGTAGAAAGCTTCATTTATCTCCTGCAGAGCAGCTGGTGGATTTGAACTGCTGGCCTTGCAGTTAGTGGTCCTAATCTTAACTTACTATGCTACTAGGGCTCCTTTTCAGCTTTATAGTCTTTTAAAACAAAGTTATATATAGAATATTGCATTTTTGATACCTTTGGATAATCTATACCAAACATTGGTAACATGTTAATTTCTATTTTAATCCCATGAAAGTTATGGTCATGATTTCTTGTGTTGTGATAACAATCCTAACACCTAAAGAGTGAAAAATGGCAAATCAATCTTTATCTCTATGTCAATAAATTAAGGGGCTCATGATGTCAACATAATCTAATAAAGAAGTCAATGTAGTCCTGCTTTTAAATTCCTAAAATATATAATCAAGAAATGCAACCATATCAAGAAATGTTTGGGAGTCTCAGGCAAGATGACAGAGTAAACCGATCAACTGATCTGACTCTCCACAACAAAGACATGAGTGACCTATTGAAGCAGATAGAGATAGCAATCCTGGACCTCTGAGTATCTGACAGAGATGTGGACTGAGTGCTTACTGGAAGAAGAAATAGAAGAGGAGCAATGAGAGAAGAAGAACAATGGGAGAACTGTGAGTGCCTATGGAGCAGCACAGCCATCTTGAGATTTTGTGAGTAGCTGTTGATATAAGAGAAAAACACAGGACGTGTCTTGAGGTTGACAGCAAGAGATTACAATTCTCCCTTGTTCCCATACCCTCCTGATAGCTAGAGGCATGCCTAGCCCCTGCCGTTGCCAACCCAGCGACCAATGATAGCCTTTTCTGTTCTGCCTCTGCCTGTGTGGAATCAGACACCTGGCATAGTGCCCCTGCTTCTGGAGGTGAATGAACACACCCTAAAATATACTGTACAGTGAACAGAGAACTAATTTCATTAACACTTCAGATTTCTACAGCGTCCACCATGAGACAAGGTGGTAAGTGCCTAAGAATATACCAATATACAATCATCAACTAAATATAAATATCACAATGACTTGGAGAAAACAGACAATTTCAGCCTACACAAAGAAACAAGACAGAGTGCCTCAAACAACTAACTAAAATGCAGAATCAGACACTGTAACACTAGAAATGGTATCAGAACTACCTGGTAAGGATACTTACAACAACAAAATTAGGCAACTTTAATGGATTGTGAGAAAGATGGAAAACTACCAATTAAATTAAGGAAAACATAGGGAAAACTTCAGGAAACAAACTGAAAAAATGGGAACCATACAAAAACAGCCTTTAGAAAACCAGAATATTAATACTAAGACTTCAGAAATAGGTAATACATTGCTAGGGCAAAGGAATAGAATTAAACTAATGTAAAACTAAATTATTGAGCTTGAAAAAAAAACAAACCTCTTAGTATTCATCTGCTAGAGCAACAATCGTAAAAAAGAACAACAAAATCTGAAGAAAATCTATGATTTATGTGGGACTCTTTCAAAAGGAAAAAAATATTTGTGATTGAATTCCAGAAAGCAAGAGACAATATTCAATAGAGATATTGTCCAAGAGTTGTTGGAAGAAAATTTCCCTAACATCATGAAGTTGAGAAGACAGCCATTGAAGAAGTTGAGCAAGCTTCTAGTAAGATAGACACCAAAAGAAAAACACTAAGATAAATAATAATCAAACTTTTTAAAACCAAACACAAAGAAAGATCCTCATAAAAGCTCAGGAAAAACAAAAGGTTACCTAAAAAGGAGAATCAATAACACTAAGCTCTCATTTCTCAGCAGAAATCATGCAGACAAGAAGACAATGGAATGGTATATATAAAGCTCTGAAAGAAAAAAAAACTAACAAAAATCATATATCCAGCATAACTTTCCATTAAATATGATGACAAAATTAGAACATTTTCAGACAAACAGAAATTAAAAGAATTTGTAAAAACCTGACAAACTTTACAAGAATACTAAAGGAACTTCTTTAGACAGAATCAATAAAAGCAGACAATAACCTGAGACTAACATACATGACCATTTCACCTAGACTTAACTCAGATATGCTGTTATTGTTAAGTGTCATCAAGTTAATTTCAACTCATAGGGGTTTCCAACTATCAGTTGGTGGGTTTAAACTCCCAACTTACAGGATCACACTAGGACCCCAACCCAGATAGAAAAATATGCAAAGTAATACAGTCCTATAATACTGACAAAAGGAACCAGAGATTCCATTGCAACAACAACAAAAAAAACACCATTAAATTAAAAAAAAGAAGAAGAAGAAGAAGAAAATGCAGTCACATAACTTCCAAATGAAGAGGAAATCTACTAGATGAAGAAAAATAAATAAATAAATAAAAATTAACCTAAAAATCCTGAAAAAGAAACCAAACTGTACTCCTAGCTCTAGCCCTTAGCACTAACTCTAGTCTGAACCATAATCCTGACAATAAATGAAATCCTACACCTAATTTAGATCTACCCATACCTCCAATCCTAAATCTCACTCCTTACTCCTACCCACCCTTTATCCCCACACCCCAAAAAAGAAATGTTTGTAGAAATCGATGTTTCCTGAACCAGTTTATCATGGACGCATCACTCAGAAATGCATGGGGACAGATGGTAGTTCCTCAGAATAGTTTTTAGATAAAAATTATCTTAGTTTTACTAATTAATATAAATTGTTAGTGAATGAGGCCACCATTTGTTCACCAGTGATTTTAGGCCTACACGTATCTTCCTTTCATATCTCCCCAAGGACTAAATATAACAACATCCCATCCTGGTTGAATCTTGCTAGATTACATGATTAGTTCTTATAGATTACAAAAAAAAAGTCTTACTGTCCATCTGTCTTCAAAGTATTTGTTATTAGGTGCCATCAAGTCAGTATCTTCTCATAACGACCCTATACACAACAGAATGAAATACTGCCTGGTCCTGGACCAGACTCACAATTGTTGTCACGCTTGAACCCATTGATGCTGCCACATCCATCTCTCTGGGAGTCTTCCTCTTTTTCTCTGACCTTCCACCTTACTGAACATGCTATCCTATTCCAGCGACTGGTCCCTCCTGACAACATGTCCAAAGTATGGGAGATGACATTTGGCCATCCTAACCTCCAAGGAGCACTCTTGCTGCACTTATTCCAATACAGATCTGTTATTTCTTTTGGCAGCCTATGGTACTTTCAATATTCTCCTCCAACACCATAACTTGAATGTGTCAATTCTTCTACAGTCTTCCTTATTCACTGTCCAACTTTTGCATGTATTATGAAGTTATTGAAAATATCATGGCTTGGGTCAAGTGCACCTTAGTCCTCAAGCTGGCATCTTTGCTCTTCAACACTTTAAAAAGGTCTTGTGCAGTAGATTTGCCTAATGCAATACATCATTTGATTTCTTG